CTAAAGTTTACCGGGATGATTCACGGCGATTACACACCACGCGAACTGCGCCCTCCTTGTAATCCATTAAAACCACTTTGATAAATTGACAAATACATATATGAAATATCATACCGACATTTTCCATCGACAATCCCCTCTTTGCATACGTGGATAAGGTTACGAGAATCTCCAATTTCTCGCGGATGCATCTGTTCGATTCGTCCGAGGAAGGAAAACAATCTACGTATTTATCTATATTCTCCGTTACTTGTATCGTTTTTTATTCGGCTGGGCCTAAATAAATATTAAGAAGAGGAACAAAATGTGAGAGAGAAGGGGAGAGAGAGAAATTCCATAGAAATATTGGGAAAAAAGGGGGAGAAGAAGAAGAAGAAACGAAAAATATTAGCCGTATGCTGTTTAACAAAATCGAATGGTTGGTATACCAGTCCTCGAAGCTCACCTCGGGCAGGCACAGAGAAAGGGGCTTTTATCATCGGCAATGACGCGTGCGATACAGGAGAACGAATAGCGGGGACGGTGGACTACACGGGACAAACACATAAATTACACCCTATGGCCTTTGTACTTTTGTCGTCGATCATTCTCGCCCTGTGCACGCCGCCGCAAGAAAGTTCGGACTAGCTGCTCGCTCGGCGGGAGATGTTTTGTCAGAGTCGATCGTGTCGCGTCCTAACCTCGTGAAAAAGGTTCGAGGACTTTGTTGCTCGCTTCACCTTTCGGTCAACTTTCGAGAAGAGGGAAGGGAATACGGTTGTTGTACGAGAAGAAAGACTATGAATCAAACGACGACGACGACGACGAAAACTAGGTTGCATTTTAATTCTTCAAAATTTGAACAAATGAAACGTGTATATCGGCCGTTTAATAAAAAAATAAATTCTATATTTTTATACGTCGCTTTTATATGTACTTTAAATTCCGTCTAATTTTTTCCTCCACGACTCGTCTATTCTCGTTTATAATTTAATCAAAAATGCAAAATTAGACGTTATTAAGTTTTTGTTTCCTTCCATCGCGAAAAATTCAACGCTATTTCGTACTATTATATTACATGTCGGACGAGGAGAGCGAAATTTCGAATTCGTAAAAACATTAATATATGCGACAAGGGCAGAATTGCTCGTTATTTAACGCGATATCGGTTGGATTTCGTGGAATTGTGCGACATCGAGCGGCTTTTTAATTCCATTAAACGAGAATTTCGCGAGAGAAAAGGCCGACTCGAATTTACGAGCATTTTTCTACCGATCGCGAGAAACGTTTCCAATCGAGACGCGAATTAAAATATTTGTTACATTGTTTTCGGTTCGAGTACGTTCGAAGTGTACCACCTCTGAAATTGTTTTTACGGTAGAAAGAAGGGAGAGGAGACAAAGGATAAACGTGAATTACGATTTTCTCTATCGTGTTTAATATAATTATTGCATACACCGTTACCCTCTTAAATTAATCGAAAAGATTAGAAAATTTTTTTGAAACGCGATGCAATCTGCAGATTTGATTTTCAAATTTGGAGTCGCGTGTGATCTATCCATGCATCTTTTTTTTTTTCAGACACTCTTTTCACAAACATTCACGCGCGAAAACGAACGAATAATATCTTAATTGCCATGTTTTTTTCGAAAATTGAAACATTTGGCGAAATTCATTTAAAAATCCAATTTGATTTTTCAATTTTGTTTTATCGAGTGAATAATCGAGTTTCGTTTTTCTCTCGTAAATATAATTTTATTTAGGGAGGAAAAGTAATTTATTAATTGGCGTGACACGATTTCTAAAACGATCGAAGAATCTTTCGTCGGAGAAAAGAAAACTTAATTTGATAAGACGAATGAAACGTTACGAGTAACCGTGTGATTCGTTACTTTGTTCAAACATCAATTCGTATAATTTGATTTTATAATTAATAACGTTTTCGATTAAATTGAATTGAATAATCTAATTACAATAATATTAATCGATCGAAAGGATTTCGAAAATTTTAAATAATTCCAATTTAAAATACAACCAATCATTTAATCGAAAAATAAAATATTTTCCTACAAGATAATCGGATACGATAGAATCATTTTCGTATACGGTCTTGTTCGTCGATCTATCTCAAATAACGATTCTCATTCATCCATGCTGAATCATCGTTTTTTTTTTTATTATCGTCACTCGTCACGCGTCCTACGCATTTCTAGGAAAAAATGTGGGTCACCATGGTTTCCAGAATTTCGGCCGCCACTCATCAACCCTCGCGTTTCCAACGCTACGTGCATTTGAACGATCGTATCTCGAGAAATGATCGACAAAATGGGAATATGGCATGCCTCTCTCTCTCTCTCTCTATTTTTTTAAAAAATTCTTTCTTCTCGAGATATCAAATAAATTTTTCGAATTATATGGTAAACTCATAACGTCGCGAAAATCTAAAAATGATACGAAAAAATTATTTTTTTATATATTTCTTTGGTTGGACGTTGGTAAAAATATTAAATCGAGTAAACGCGATAAATATGAAATTTATTTATAGAAGGAAATCGTGCTTTTCATTTTTTTCATTTTTTCATCGTTTAATATTTTCACGATTATTATATCGACTCGCATCACTGAAATAATTAATGAAACGCAAATATGACAATGAATATGATACGTTGACAAATAAATATCATTTCATCGAAATCTATTCATAATATAACGAATACTCGAACACTACCGCCAACTAACTCGGAAAATGAGAAAGGAAAACGTAAAAGCGTGTCAGTGAGAAGAACGTGAATCCAGGTTCTGGCAAGCATCGTTTGCACAAGGAACGAGCAACAACGTGACGAGCAGCTCGAGAATGAAATCGCGTTGAATCGCATTGTCTTCCAAACCCCGGAAGAAACGAATCTCTCTCAGAACACGGGGAGAGAAACCGAAACGATATTTCATCCTCTACGTTCCGCGCTTGTCAATGCCTGCCATTTTATACATGAACAAAGTAGTGAATTATGCAAAGCACGAAAGTATGAAAAAACCGAAGGTTGAGTTGGGAACTTGAGGTGGAAATTACAAGCGAAGTCGAGAAAAATCGTTCAGGAAAGAGGACATTGGTTTCTGTTACTGAGAAAGAGGGGGAGGAGAAGGAGAGGGAAAAGGAGGGAGGGAGGGAGGAAGAGAGAGAAGACATAAGGATGAATCAATCATTGAACCATTTTTCCCGATATCGCGCTAATTTCGTAGGAACTTTGATCTGTTACATAATGAAATGATTACCGAGAATTATTTTTGTTTCCAAAAAAAAGATAAAGACTTAAATAAACAAAAATTCAAGAATAAAATAAAAAAAAGTAAAGAAAATGAATTGTTTCTCTTATCTTCTCTCAAACTTGATCTCTTGTGATACAAAAATTGGAATTCTTAAATTTAAATTATTTAAAATTTTAAGTTATTTCTCTTAATGATTCCATAAATGAATCACAATCGAGAAAAAAGTGACAACTTTGTGTTACATATATTGAAATCTTAAAAAAACATTGCTTTAATAAAATTTCAATCTACAAAAAATTCACAGCCAATTCTTATATTAATTCTTATAAAATACATAATCGTACCATTAATATTAGTGATACGATTATATATCGTATGTCAAATAATAATGATTTTCCAAGCTTCGCTTTTTGGATTTTATTGAGAATTGGATACCCACCCTGATCATGACATATTTCATTCATCTTCTTTTTGCGAAAAAATTTACTTATTTTCAAATAAATTCTTTTTTTATTGCCTGTTTGCAAAACATTCATATTCGTGATCGTTGTACAGCACAAACATCAAAAGAAATTGCAAAAAATCGAAGAATAAAACCTGAAAATAAAGTTTAAATTAGAAAATTTTTAGCAATATTTTACTATATTTTTATCATTATGAAAGTGAAAAATAATTAAAAGCGTAAAAGAAAATAAACAATAATAGAGAAGCTTTCCACGAAATACTATTTTGCTCATTAATTATTCATTTACTTATATTACATTATTTTATCTACTTAATTAATACTGTTTATACTGTTTATGCATGTATATTTATTCTAAATTTTATTCAATGTTTTTCTATGATGCAATCTTTCGTTCTTGTAAAAAACTTAAATGCAACATTAAAATATTTTAAATATTCTATTTATTCTAAATTTTTTTTCAGCTATAAAAATTAAATATTTTACTTATAAATCCTGCATATTAAAAATCTAAAAAATTTTTTTTCCAATTTACATTCATACCAACGATATAATTTTTAAGAATTTATAGTACGACATGAATTACACATGATTAGAGAAAATGCAAGTAAGGATATAACGATAGTTATTGAACCAAATAGCTATTAAATATTAAGGATTTAGTTTTTTTGAGAGAGAAAGTTTAAGGAAGACAAGCGATTCATGATTGCATTATGAAAAATTGAAACATTGTTACGGAAACTATGTATCAAAGTAGGAAAGATGAGAGTGTTTTGCTACTTTTTTGTAAAAATATCATAATATTTATTTATTGTTATATTTTCCAATATTATAAAACAAACGCATTGCATGCGATCACAATATGATTTGAAAATAAAATTGCATAAATCGAGAAAGAAGAATAGAGAAAAAAATATTTTTTCTATCGAGAATTTGTTAAAAAAGATATTGTTACTAATAATATCTTGTACATATTATATAGCCTATTAAAAATATTCGATTCGAAAATTTGTACATAATACAAGTTTTGCATAATAAATCATGGATTATTTCAAAATATTTTTCACTCTCATCTTGATATTTTCAATAATTAATGTAATAATTATGAATTATTACATAAAAATTATATTATACAAATAATAATTCAAAATAAAATATAAATAGAAAATATAAAAACTTACTTACATATCTTTTTTACAAGAATACAAGATTTTTTACAAGATACAAGAATTTAAATTTTACTTTTCCTCCGTAAAACGTGAATTATCATCATGACGTCCATTGAAAATTCTTTTCCCACTTAAAGTAATTCAGCAATCAATTACATATCTGCGGGAAAAAGAATAAATCTATAAAATAAATATATAAAATACACAAGATTAAATTGATTATATTAAAATAAGACAATAATTTAATTCGTAATCTATTTTAAAAAATAATAATACGAATCAATATTAACTCAAACATTAAATAAATAAATAAATAAAATTAAACGAATTATTCTTTAAAAAAATCAAGTGTAATGATCAACTATAATTCAATGAATGAAATAATAAGATAAAAAATAAAAAAAAATATCAAATAAATATTGAGAAATAAACTTCAAGTCTCATGCTTGAAGCAACGAAGACGTCTAATCGTCACGAATTTCGACGACAAAATGACGCGTAGTGATTTCTATGTATCAATTACAAATTAAGGTGAAAGTATATTCGACAATCATATCAACAATTCGACAAATCGAAACGTATCGAGCGTGACATAATACCGACCGTCAATGTTTTGGAAGATTTTAATTATAGAAATATTTAGAATTTCGGAAACTTGAGCGTAAAATCAAAACAAATACTGTAAGAAGAGAAACATGAGAAATATGTATGTGTAAATCAATGTGAATTATTTAGTTATTTTCACTTCTACATGAATAAAAAGCAAAAGAACTTTATAATACTACGTATGTGTTAAAATAAACAAAATCTTACTACGTTTGCACAAAAATCGTCGAATTATCTCTTAATTGTCGTAGTGTGTACAAAACTGTTAAACATTTTCAAGGCCATCCTTTTTTTGATGTTTCAATCAAACTATGATCACAAAGATATTTAATTTTGACATAATAATGAATAAATAAACAGATATTACTTAAACAAAGCTTAATTAACTATATTCGAACACTGTATTAATATAAATTTTACATAATCACGCACTTTTACCCATGAAACGAATCCCATCACTACACTTTTCAACTGTAGACTAACGAAATGCGCACAATGATGCGCACAATGACGCGAACTGATTTGTCCCGCCATTAAAGTTCAATGGTTTTCTGATTGGTTGAAGCGCTGCTGTTTTCTATATGCTTGAGCCGCGCGAAAATTGAAATATAATATATTATACATTACCTATAAATTTTTATATATCAAAGTCTTACAAAAATACCACGATTAAAAATATACTAAAAATAGATTATAATATTATTTAAATTAGATTATAATATAATTTAAAAAAAAAATTGTCCAAATTAAAACATTTAAAATTGAAATTGAATCTGCAATATATTCAAAAAATAAAGAATATGCATAAACATACATATAATATATATTAATTTAATTAATCCTAAAATTCATTCCATCAAAATTATAAAACAAATTAGTAGAGAAAGATTTATCAGATCAATTTGATATTAATTTTGAAATAAAATTCTAAACTAACAATAAATTATAAATTAAATTTCAAGCGATATACATATACATATAATAATTTATTTTACATTTTTAAAAATTGCTAAATGATATTTTTCTTGTTATTAAATTATACAATATAATCTTGTTTATTTATAATTTTTATAATAAAATTTTATAATAAAATAATAATAAAATAATAATTTTAATTCATACTATAATTATTTTCCATTTTACTGAACCGGTATAACACGAAAATGATAAAAAATTCAACTACGAAAAAATATTACATATCTTTCTGTATATCATCTGTCATATTTTTGCATTTCATTCGATCTAAATGTGTACAAATAATATGTTTTATTAAAACATGTATATTTTTACAAAGAATTCTTGATTTGCTTTCAAATATTCGAGAAGAGATATTTCACAATTTTTATTTAATTATGTGAGATAATGAAATAGATGGGCGTGCAGAGCTTTTCCTTTTATCCAATGACTATATTTCCAAACGATAAAATTCCCAAGAATAATGACTGTTCGTGAGTTCGATTTAAAGCATTCCAAAGAATGAATGTAATGCGATTTAAAATGGAAATATTTCACGGTTAGCTTAACAAATAGTAAAAAAATACAATAAAAATACAATAAAATTCGATATAAATATACTTTATAAATTGTATGCATGGCAATCTATTTTTAATTTATCAAATGAAACTAAAACTAGAATTTTCGATCGAAATGATATCGATTCTATCCTCGAACTTCGATTCGTTTGCGATAAATTGATCGATTTTTTAAAAATATGAAAAACTTTTGATCATCGTACAAGAATATCGTAGATTAAACCGTTCATTCGCGAAACTCGTTGCTTTAACAAGATCTTATTACACGAATGGAGCGAATGGTGCTGAATCGCAAGTGCGTAAAAGACAGAGAAGAATGCCGTAGGCGAGACGCGACAACCATAAGTTCTACCGAAACACTTTCGGGAGATGTGATAGAATCGTTTGTCTGCTTCGTATTTCAGAGTTCGCAACTTCTCATCGGATGACATTTAAGATTACGGTTAGTCGTCGAAACAGTGAAAAAAACTCTGTCTCTCAAATTTATCGTCATTTTTATTGTTTTTTATCAAGATTTTCGATTAAAACTACCGATAAATCGAGCAATTTAAGAAAAAAAAAAAGAAAAAAAATTCAGAATCTCAAAAGTTAACATCTCGAACATTCGAGCTAAATAACGCGATTTTTAATCGACTCGTCATATATATGTGGATATATTTGATCGAAATATTCGAAATAAATAATATTCGAACGTATTACTATAATCGCGAAAGATGAAATAAATGAAATGAATTATGAGAAAGATTAAACAACGTATGCAACGTATGCAAAGGAGAAACGTGACGACTTTATTAATAACGCATCGAACTTTCTCCCTTTCTTTCTCCTATATTTTCACTTTGATATCCGTGATTATCATCGATTTTAATTTGTCGTTCATATCTCTCTTCGTCCCCTTTCTATAGCTATATCATGTTATCTCCGCTCACCTTTATTTCCAAGTTTTTCGCGTTTTTTCACTTCCGATTTTTTTTTTTCGCGATTCGACCAGCAAATGTTAAATTCCTCGCGTACTTTTCGAGAAAATAAATGGATTATCGATCAAAATCGATTCATTTTTTTTTCTTTTTTTTTTAATAAAAGACAGTGAATAAAAGATTTGAAAGAGAGAAACGCGTAATCAATCGAACCAATTTTAATTTTTCATATAGAGATAAATATTTACTATACTTAGAAGGCTTAAGCTCGAAAATGTGAAATATTCAGGGATCAGCAACATATCGGTGATAAAATAATATGTTTTGTGAAATCGTTGTACAAGCTGAATTATAAGAGAATTGATAAAATGAACGAAAAGTTTGATAGAAATTTTCCCCTAAAAAAAAAAATATGATTATTTATAATTTCTTAGAGAAATATTTAGATGCAATATTGCAGGTTAACATTTGATATAATATCTTTCGCAGAATCTTCAAAACTCTTGCAAAGAATTTTCCAACCGATTAAACATCAGCCCCATCTTCAAACACGAAGAGCAGCCAGTCAGTCACTTTTCCCTCTTCTTCCCACCTTCTTTTCATCGCCATACTGCTATATACACATACTGCTCATAACTCATCCCATCGAACACTTTTGAATCGCGCGTGTTTTTCATCGAGAGATTTCATCACGTCGAAAAGAATTCTCTCGGTTCTTTCTTTTCCATCACGAAGAAATTAAATTTTACCCCTCAATTTACATAAGCGTGCAATTACGTAAAGTGCCGACTTAATTATTTTCGGCTCCATTTTTTTCGGACAGATTATTACGACTCGATCGATATCCGACGAAAAAAATAAATAAATAGATAAATACATACGTATCATAACTTCTCACTTTCTCTCCGTAAACAAATTATTTAAGATATCTCGAACAAATTGAATATTTCTACGATTTTATTCGAATCATAAGTATTTTTTTTATAATAATCGAATAAACGATTGCTAATCTTTTCGATCGGTGAATCTTAAGCCATTTTTTCACTCCTCATAAATTGATATTATGTTGAAATCGGATTGAACATTACAAGATAATAATAATAATTTCGAATTACGTAAAGAACAGAGTTGCAATTATTCTTGGAAATCTCGTAAGGAGATCTAACAAGTACTGGATACGCGTGTGAATAATAAACGACACAATTTTTTGAAACTGAAGGAATGAACGATCAATACTTTATTTTTTGATTTTGTTATTTTATATTTTATTATTATAAATTAGCTGTGTTATTTAATATTAACAGTAACGGTACAGTAGTAGTTTATATGAAAAAGTTAATTAAAATAAATTAATAAATTGCAGGAATATTAATTATACAAAATAGTGTGCACACTTCGATGAATTAAATAATCACGTTACGACTGTTATATAGAGAGAATATTTGTGCGAAAAGTTTAAACGAAACGATCGTGATTTATTCGTTTCGTTGATCGCGAAAAAGAAATTCTTAAGAATTTCATTAAGAGAAAAATGCAATACTTTGTTATTATTGCGTATTATTTAATAACAATTCCTCTGTATTTTCCTCTGATCGTTTCAAGTCTAGAAAACATTGAGAAAACGAATGAAATCTTTTATTTTTTTCTCTACGATCAAAGAAACTTTATATATGCCTTTATAATAAAAATATATCGAGAAAAATATTCGAATAATTTATTTTCTTAATGCAATTTTGAATACATTGAGTTAAAATTTATATAAGTACTTATGTAACGTACTTGCTTGCGTTCTTTTTTACTTACCAAATCAAATCAGAAGAATAAAAATGGATCAGATCCATCGTTAAAAATGATTTTTCGTGGAAAATTTATTTTAAATAAACTATATCGAATTTGTTATTAAAAAATAAATAAAATATTACTTCAATCGATAAAATTCGTTTGAAACTTATTCTATTCGATCGATAATTATTTTAATAATAATCCTGATAATATAAAATTTTGCTTTAAAATTTACATATATCTAGTATATCGAAAAAATTTATTTTTAATTTGAAAAGGAGGAAGAAGGAAAAAAAAGAATACAAAGAATCTCTGTTATTCGCAATTCTTGATAAAAAGTTTCGAGCGATTGTCCATCGTGGTTTTCCGCCTCTCGGAAAACCGTGTTTGGCAAAGAAGATAACCTCGAAAATGCAAATCGGAATATATATATACATCTGTGAGTCTATGTATTAAAGAAAGAGAGAGAATATCTGAGGAACATCGCCTCGAGAAAATAGCGTATCCTCGTCGTTCCGGAGCCAGCTAGCTACGGTGTTTCGTCAGCCGATTCGGAGAATCCCTTTGTGCTGCGAAATTGGTCGAGTTCACCGGCTTGTCTACTATAAACAAAGCTGGTTCTAGCCACCGCTCTGGTAACCGTCCAACGTCCATTTCGTCTTGCAAACGAAGCGAAATTCGCGTCGTTCGATCCATCCAAGAAGGCAAAAATGGCCAGAGCTGGTGTTTCAAAAACACGTTCGCGCCATCGCATCGCTCTCCTCCTCCTCGTTATTCTCCGCTAAAACTGTACCTTAGATTGGATCGTTGCTATTCATCGCGCATCGAACAATTTTTGGAAAAGAATTTTCCACGATTCTATCCCCGGAATAAATCCTACGTCTATCCCTCTATTTATATGTAAGGATATATAAGGACGTAAGAATTCGAGCGACAAACTAATATTTCCAAAAACATGGTCGGAGAAGAATGGAGACATTGTTGCGTGATCCGTCGCGAACATTCATCCGTTGCGTCGAGAAATCCATCGGTCAAATCGGTAAAAGTTCATTTTTCTTACGCGACGTCAGCCTTGGTATCTTTCACGAGTTTCTCTTTTGTTTCAACTCAGAGAACTCAGAGATGAACGAAGAGACGAAGACAAGAAAAAACAAGGGTGGATGAAAATCGGAAGAAAATAAAAAGCGCGCGCGGAATTGTGAGTTTTAGACAACGGAAGTTGAATAACGTATCAAATCTGCGACACGATGATTACGACGATGTGACTTATTTAACAGTTTAATCTTTCGTTCGATCGGAAAAAATAGTCGTACAGAAATTGACAAGATTACACATATACATTTTCACATGTCGATTTATGTAACTTTCGTTAATTTGATAAAAATTTGATCGATTTTTCGATAGTGCGTTTCACGATTTTAAATCACGAACGTATTTTTTTCCAAACAAATTGTCTTACGATGTTCCTATCCCTTCTTTCTAAATTCGATCTAAATTATTCAGCTCTTTTATCTCCAACTACAATTCTTCCAAAAATTTCGCGATATAACTTTCTCCAATAATATTATTTCCGCTTATTTCATATCTCTCCGATAATTTACAATGTTCGACATAATTACAAAGCTTGCAATTATTATTGTTTCGATGAGGAAGAGAAAACTTGCGAACGAAACGCGATAATTTGCAAGTTGCACCACTGGAAAATTCAATGGAACGAGAAACGAACGCAACAATGTTTCGACTACTACGAGTTGCCGCTCCTTGTTCGACCAAAGTACTCCTAAAAAGATATCGTAATAGCATTCTCGCTAATAATAAATAAATCGGTTGAGGGTGAATGCCTTATTTTCGGATAATCATTATTCGAAAAGTAGAAATCGTAAAATAAGATTTTCCAGCATCGCAAAGGGACGAAAGAGGAATGCGATGTTAGGACGAGAATAAACGTGGTGGAGAAAATCGTTTATAAATTTGATTCGTTTTGCTCGAACAGATTGGTTGGGAAGAATTTGGGAAGAAGAATGATAAGGCAGGGATCGTTTACGAGATTAAAATTCTGGGAGGCAAATCGTATCGCCGTGGCGAAAATGGAAACACTAGGCGCCTAATTTTAATCAATGCTGATTTTGCGGTTCGTTCGTTGCTCGTTTCGTAGAATCGTCTACCACGCGCTCGAATTATCATCCCTCTCTCGTTTAATCGTATGCCCGATCCTATCCAATTGTTTCCCTTCCGTTTACGCCTTTACCTTTTTTTATTTTTACCCGTAAATTTTCAATCGATCCCTCCTAGATATTATGCTTTCTTTTTTTTCCGTTCAGTTCGATCCTCTTTCTCTTTTCCCCATTCTTCCCTTCTCTATGTTCCGCGTCGGTAACGAACAACGAGCCGTAGAATTCGAGCTCCTCTTTATTGGATCGAGAAAGGGTTTGAATAGGATGAGAATCGTGAGAAAGAGAGCAAGGGGCTATCGATCGAGGATAAAGTGGCTATGCAGATTAAGAATTGGCTTCGAGGAAAAAACGTATAAAAACGTTGCTTCTTGTTTATAAAAAAAGAGACAAAATGACTTTTTTCCCATTTTCTTTCCATATAATTCCGTATCTAAGAAATCACGTGGACACGTTTCAGGATTCGAAAACGATAATTATTCTTATTTTAAGATATTTCAATTTCAGACGAGTCCATCCTGTTCCAAAGATGTTTAAATATACGAAGAAAAAATTGTTAAAAATATGATTTCAGAAAGGTCGGGAATCATATTGAGTAAGTTTAAAATCGTTTTTAAAAATTATCCATCTCGAGAAATGAGAACGGAAAGAATAAGAAGATGGAATGAAAGAAAGAGAAACGAGGAGAAGATAGAACGAAACGAAGTTTACTCGACGATAATAAAAAAAAAAATATTTGAACGTTTTAATGAACAACGTGTAACGCGCAATGGATGCGTGGTCAGGTGACGAAAGGAAATAACGAAATTTTTCGAGCTTTTGTTTGACGTTGGTGAATGGAACGAAGCGTATAGCAAATAAACGAAATATTTTGCACGATTCGTCAAGATGGATCGATACAAGTTTCGAATCGCGTCTATTACGTGTACATATAAATATCCATTAAAGGAATTTAACTCAATTTGTTGGCAAAATAATTTTCATCGACGCGAGCATAGTATCGTATAATTAATCGCGCGCAAGGAAAATTTATTGAATATTCGATAATTGAAAAACTGAATTTACGCGATTATTTCGAATAAACGCTAAACTCGTCGAGAAAACATCGAGTAATAATTCCGATTATGTATCGATCGCGAGTTCATTCGCGATGGAATTGTCACAATTATTTATTACGTGGAAAATATTTGCCACGCGATACGTTTATTAGAATGGAAAAAAAATTATTTTCGTTTAATTTTTCACGATCCTCCGTTTATCATTAACGAAATTTTTCATATTCGATAGATAGAAAGAGAATCGTCACGATTACGACACGAGAAAAAGAAATTTTGTATACGAATATTCGCGTATTCGAGAGATAAAAAAAATAAAAAAAAAAAAATAAAAATTCAACGAACTTGGTTATTATCCTTTCTCTTTCGACTAGATTTTCAATATTCACTGTCACCGATCCGTATAAATTTCATCGATATCCAATTAATTTATACTTGGGCGTAGTAGTTATTGAATCCGGATTTGGGAGGACAATACCGGGTGCGCATTTGATAATAATTATTCCAGCTAACCATGGATTATCGAATATTTAACGTTGCGTAAATTACATATAAAAAAAAGGAATATTATCGATGACGAGAAAATTATTCCGCTAAATTGTGTACGTAAAAAAAAATAGAGAATGGAAATTTCAAAAAAGTACGTATCGCTAATGAATTATCGATACGTTAAAATGGTTGGATGAAATAAAATTATGGAAGGAAGAATAACGAGCATTAGGATCGTTTTATTATCGACGATATAATATATGAAAACAGATGTCGACTCGATGGATTTATCGACGCGTTGTCAACGATAAATTAAGATCGACGCGTTGTCAACGATAAAATAAGAAGGAAAAAGTGGAAAGAAGAGAGATATTTTCAAAGTAACTCATCGTCGGAATGAAACGTGTTACGAGAATTATAATACGTAACGAGAAACGATCCGACGAAGAAACCCGTAAATAATAAGATTACCAGAATCTCTGGGATAGTGGACGTAAAAGTTTAAACGAATTGATTTATCGAACTTTCCGTGTGTCACGCTTCTTCCGATTCGACATTGAATTATAGTTGATATCTCGAGATATATTTTCCATTAATGTTCGAGATGGACGAAGAACAGGTGTGAAAAATCGATAGAAAAACGATCGAGGGTATTAATTCGTAACGAGCAAAGGAAATGATCGATACGATATTCAAATTCTTTGGATGGAAGAAAATGCATTTTCGGATAATCGATAAAATAGCTACAATTATTTACCTTCTCGTAAGTTTTTATCTAGATAGAGTTGAAAAAAACAAAAAAACGCGTTTCCACGTTCGCGATATAAATCGATTTTACCTATCGAGAGTCTTGGATGGTTTAACAACGCGGGGAAAAAAGGAAAAATGAATAGATCCCGTCCGAATTATTCGTCCATTGTTCCGATAAAAACAGCAGGAGTAAAAATGCGTTGCGTCCGGATGAGAGATCATCGCTGCGTGACGAGATAATCGAACAAACTCCAAAACGAAACTCGGTTCCACGCAAATGCGCCAATTGGAATCGCGCCTCGCGATTTCAACCATTTAGGAGAGCAGGTAACCGGCAGACCTGCCCAATTTCTACCTTTTCCCGAATGGGGAACGGGAAATAAATGACAATTTTCTATCGTTTCTAGATATTCTCTTTCGAATTCGTATTTGCTTTCACCTTTCATCCTTGTTTCCCGCCAATTTCAATTACATCCCTCGATCGAGTTTCGAGTATCGCGTTGTTAAACGGGCAAAATTTTTCCAATTTGCTCCTAATCTTTTTTGTTTTCTTTTCTTTTTCAGTGAATTAACGTTTTTTTTTTTTTTTCATTCTAAAATATCGATCCCTACGTTCTATCACGATATTATTGATATTATTTTCTCTATGAGAGAATTATTAAATTACATCTCGCGATCCACGCGTTAATCCTTATCTCCTACGTTATTTCGTTATTTTTGCGAATCTCGAACGAAAGTGGTAAGAATGGAAAAACAGATTGGAAAATAATGGTAGT